CCATCCATTAGTAACAATGTTAATGTTAGGATTTCATATTTATTTAATAGAAACTGGGAATTATTAATGTTATGTGCATACATGTATATCTTAGTATATTGATATGATGAGACTTATAATATTTCTGTATTTAAAGAATTACAGTTATGACATTATTATTAAAGGGATGAGACTTTCATTTAAAGTTATATATGATAATACATGTATTGATTGAAAATGTCCTTACACTTGGATCAAGCAATTTAGTTAATAAAGTCTCAAAAAATCATATTCTAAATAGTTATTCTATTTTTTTCTAACATGTGCAAAGTTTGAAAAGGAGAGCTTCTGTCTTATCTATTTGTATCATTAGTTTAACCTGTGATTTTTTCATTTTTAGCTCTGGTGCCATAATTTGCAGCAAAACGGAACGTGCCGGTGATGTGCACAACTAGGGATAGTACTGATCACTCCTGTAAAGTTTGGTTGAAATCCCACCAGTAGTTTGACCTATGAAGTTTGGACAAGATTTTTCTAATTAAAGCTCTGGTAGCCATTTTAAGCAGCGAAGCAGAACATGCCGGTGATCTTCACAACTAGGGATGATACTGATCACTATTGTAAAGTTTGCTTCAAATCACATCAGTAGTTTGACCTGTGCAGGCCGGACAAATTTTTTCTATTTTAGCTCTGACAGCCATTTTGTGCAGCAAAGCATAACAGGCCGGTGATGTGCATAACTAGGGATGATTCTGATCACTCCTGTAAAGTTTGGTTGAAATCCCACCAGTGGTTTAACTGTGACGACCAGACAAGATTTTTCTATTTTTAGCTCCGGCGGCCATTTTGTACAGCAAAGCCAAGCATGCCGGAGATGTGCACAACTAGGGATGGTACTGATCATTCCTGTAAAGTTTGGTTGAAATCCCACCAGTAGCTTGACCTGTGAAGGCCAGACAAGATTTTTCTAATTTTAGCTCTGCGGGGCATTTTTTTTGTGCAGCGAAGCGAACGTGCTGGTGGCAGATTTAGGGATGATTCTGATCACTCCTGTATAGTTTGGTTAAAATTCCAACAGTAGTTTGACCTGTGAAGGCCGGACAAGATATTTCTGTTTTTAGCTCTGGTGGCCAGGGAAGCGGAATGTGCCGTTGATGTGCACATCTAATGATAGTACTGATCACACCTGTAAAGTTTGGTTGAAATCCCACCAGTTGTTTGACCTGTGAAGGACAGACCAGCTTAATGCAGATGGATGGACAACCGGACAGCCAACACAAAAGCAACATGTCTCCAAAAAATTTTGGGAGACATACTGATTCATTTGTCATCTTATTTAATGGAATTGAATGATCCAAAAATAACTTTGAGCATGTCATGAGTACATATCTAAGACAAGTGGCCCTTTTGTGGTCTATTTTAAAATGCATCTATCTCAATTGTTCAAAACTACTGAGTAGCCTCTATGCAACAATAGAACATACAACAAGAGCTGGCAATGCCCCCTAAGGATTCTAGTTATAAACCACCTATTACATGTTAAGTGTGGTGGTAAAAAATTGACAAAGTTCGTACCTCAGCAGTGACCTTTAAGTTAAACAAAGAAACCTGGGTCTTGTTCACAACACATTGTCCATTTATGGTCACTTTATATTTTTAAAAAATAATTGAAACTTTCATGTATATGGAGAGTACAGAGCAGACACAACAACCACTATTTATATATATGACCTTGAACTAAGGCGTAGGAACAAAGGTCAACACATCATACATTTATGATAATTTCATATTTGAAATCAAAAATATAATCCTTTCATGCATATTAGTTTCAGAGCAAACATGGCCATCTCTGCCAATATGTATTTTAACATCAAAATTGACAAAGTTTCAACCCCAGCAGTGACTTTGACCTTAGTCGTAGGAACCCAAGTCTTGTTAGCGACACACCATACATTTATGGTTATTTCATATGTGAAAAAGAAATTACAATCCTTCCATGCATACTGAAGTTTCAGAGCCGACATTACCACCAACTTCTATATCTATATAACAAAAAATGACAACATTTGAACCCCAACAGTGACCTTAACTTTAGTTGTAAAAACCCAAGTCTTGTTTGCAACACACCATACATCTATGGTTAATTAATGTGTGAAAAAAAATTACAATCCTTTCGTAAAAATACCGAAGTTTCAGAGAGGATACAACCACCTTCTATATATTTAAAACATAAAAAATGACATAGTTTGAACCCCCACAGTGACCTTAAACTAACTCGTAGAAACCTCGAGTCTTGTTCGCGACACACCATATATCTCTGGTTATTTCATATGTGAACGAAACCTTACAATCCTTCCATGCATACTGAAGTTTAAGAGTGGACACGATCACAACCTTCTATATTTATATAACATAAAAAATGACAAAGTTTGAACGCCCACAGTGACCTAGACCTTAGTGGTAGAAACCAGAGTCTTATTCGCGACACACCATACATCTATGGTTATTTCATATGTGAAAGAAAAATTAAAATCCTTTCATGCATACTGAAGTTTCAGAGTGGACATGACCACCACCTTCTATATTTTTATAACATTAAAAACTAGAACTATCGCTGAATGCGATTCATACCCCCACCAATGTCATTGACAGAAGACGACTTGGAAAGGTAGTTAAGGGAATAACTTTAGTGGCACAAATTCAAAGAAATTGTCTCTGGTGAACAAAAGACTAATTGTATAGGTAATAGTATAAAAATAGAATTTATAGAGTAGACACAACATATTGTCTAGTGTTGAATGTATGTAAATCTAAAGACTTAAAAAGGGGCATAACTTGTTATGAAAGGTTATTAAACTTGACCTGCATATCTTATTTGTGACACCTCATATAGCTTTTAAGTTTCAAGCAAATACCTGTGCTAGTTTCAGAAATATTCAAGTTCATGTTAAAATTTAAGAACAATTTCTAAGTCAATATTTGACCTTCAAGTGTGACCTTGACCTTTAACTGGCACAAAGGTAACATGATTTCTGCACATAAACTTGGTGAGGTGAACATTTGAGTAAAGTTTGAAGAAAATTCTTCGATTAGTATAGGATTTATAGAGCGGACATGACATATTGTCTAATATTTGATTGTATGTAAATTTGAAGACTTAAACGGGGGCATAACTTTGTTAAAATGCAATACAGAGTTGTGAAACTTGACCAGCATATCTTAATTGTGACACTCCATATATATTTTAAGTTTCAAGAAAATACCTTTTCTAGTTTCTGAAATATTCAAATACATGTTAAAATTTAAGAATATTTTCTAAGTCAATTTTTGACCTTCAAGTGTGACCTTGACGTTAAGCAAGCAAAATGGTGACATGGGTTCTGCACATAACCTTGTTGAGGTGAACATTTGAGCAAAGATTGAAGAAAATCTTTCAATTAGTGTAGGACTTGCAGAGCGGACACGACATACTGTGTAATATTTGATCGTTTGATATTTGACTTTCAATTGTGACCTTGACCTTAAGCTAACACATGGGCAACATGGGTTCTGCACATCCCCTTCTTGAGTTGAACATTTTAGCCAAGTGTGAAGAAAATCTTTCAATTAGTGTAGGACTTACAGAGCGGACACGACATATTGCTATTATTTGATTGTTTGACATTTGACCTTCAATTGTGACCTTGACCTTGCGCTGACACATGGGCAACATGGGTTCTGCACATCCCTTGTTGAGGTGAACATTTGAGCCAAGTGTGAAGAAAATCTTTTAATTAGTGTAGGACTTACAGAGCGGGCATGACATTACATACTGTCTAATATTTGATTGTTTGATATTTGACCTTCAATTGTGACCTTGACCTTGAGCTGACACATGGCAACATGGGTTTATGCACATCCCTTTGTTGAGGTGAACATTTGAGCCAAGTTTGAATAAAATCCTTCAATTGGTATAGGATTTATAGAGCGGACACGAAAATGGAGACGGACGGACGGACCGACCGACTGACCGACCGACCGACGTGACAAAGCAAATCCATTATAGCCCCCCTCACATTTTTGGACAAAGTTTTAACCCCCACAGTGACCTTGACCTTAGTGGTAGAAACCCAAGTCTTAATCGCTACACACCATACATCTATGATTATTTTGTATGTGAAAGAAAAATTAAAATCCTTTCATGCATACTGAAGTTTCAGAGCTGACATGACGACCACCTTCTATATTTATATAACATAAAAAATGGCAAAGTTTGAACCCCCACAGTGACGTTGACCTTAGTGGTAGAAACCAAAGTCTTGTTCGCGACACACCAAACATCTATGGTTATTTCATATATGAAAGAAAAATTAAAATCCTTTCATGCATACTGAAGTTTCAGAGCGGACACGACCACCACTGTCTATATTTAACAGTATAAAGCGGGGCGGACTAACGGACAGATAGACGGACGGTTCGATTTTAATATGCCACCCTTCGGGAGCATAATAAATCTTTAGAATTAAGTAGAATAGTTCTACCTATATTTTATTTAACATAAATATTGTAAATGAGACATCCTCCAGAGCAAAGACATCAAATATGACCTTCATTAAAGTTCATAAGCAAATGTATTTCATTAACACAGACAGCTTAAACTTACCACTTTCAGATATTATCCATTGTTTTGTCTCCCGGGAAACTTTACATCTGTTCACATGTACCTCAATACCATTTGTGCTTTCTTCCTTACCGATATCAACATCTCTATTTAACAGACGCTTCGTTAACGTTGTCTTGCCAGCACCTTTATGTCCAACAACTACCACACGAATGTTGCAAACAACTTCATAACCCTCATCCAATAATTTCATGTATAAATGTATAGAAGACTGATCCATTTGTTGGATTACCATTGGGAGTGAACCTGAACAAAAAAATATTGATATCCTTACTAACTAAGAGGCAGGTAATTTAGTAAAGCAAGAGGTAATTTAGTAAAGCAAGAGGGTCATTATGGTCCTTATATTGCTCACCTCAATATTGAGGCTCTGAATTAATATTTTTATCAATGATTGAAAGGCAGATATAATGTCATGAACTTTAACTGATATAACATTCATATCTGCATCTGAAATAGTGCAACTGTTAATAAGATTTTTTTCATGTATGTTGATTTATGTGCTGTGACTTTTCTTTTTACTTCAGATGACCTTTATTCAAACCTGAACTGTAAATCATTCAAACAACCTTCCTGACCAATGTCCATGATATTTTGACAAAAACAGTAGCCTTTAAAGTGTTAAAGAGGTTTATCAATATTTGGGCTGTATGACCTTCTTTTTGACCCAAGATGAACCATATTCAAACTTGAGCTAGAAATCATCTTAACAACCTTTCTAACCAATTTCAAGGATATTTGGACCAAAACAGTACCCTCTAAAGTGTTAAAGAGGTTAATTGAGCTGTGACCTAGTTTGAGGACATAAAGATGCCAAATATCAAAGCTCTTAGCCTTATACCTTCAGAAAAGAGATTTTACTACATGTACATAATGAAAATCAATCACCCTAGGAGCAGGGACAATTTTGACCAATGGACTATTTTTTGAAAATCTGTCTAGTTATTTTTAAGGGTTGAAGACAATACAATACAAAGTTACAGCCAATAATAGCAAGAACAAGCGAAATTTGGACTTTTGACCTTGAAAGTCAAGGTCATTTATGGATGAAGGTCAAGGTTGGTGTGGTCTACTGAAAGGTCTTGTCCAAAGGGTTGTTGTGGCCAAGTATGAAGACAATACACCAAGAACTAAAAAAGCTTTGATCCAGGTACAAGTTTGCGGACGGCAACGCCGCCAGGACTATAACAACACCTCTACTTTTTTTTAAAAAGTCGAGCTAAAAAAATTAGGAATTTATAGGAATTTCACAGAAATATAGGAATGTTTGTAGAAATATAGGAATTTATAGGAATTACTCCAAAATATAGGAATTTATAGGAAACTTTACGCCCTATAATCTTGTGCACTGCACTTTCTCTCAATGTGCTTGACCATATAATGAAGTTGTATAAAATTTTAACTCATGCTCCAGACAAGGAAAATGCAACAGAAAACTAACAAAGGACAATTACTCTATCAGATACTCTCTACAGATATAGTTATGGTTCTTACGCCCTGCACTTCCTCTTATTGTGCTTGACCATTGTATGAAGTTGTTTTAAATTCCAATCAGCATTTTTCAAGTTATGCTCCGGACAAGGAAAAGCGTCAAAGGGCAATAACTGTAATTAGTCAAAATGAAGTACTAGTATTTGTTCTTGTGCACTGCACTTCCATTAAATGTGCTTAACCATTGTATGAAGTTGTATTGAATTCAAACTAGTGGTTTTCAAATTATGCTCCAGACAAGAAACAAGAGGGACATGATGGCCCTGAGGTCGCTCACCTGTATATAGGCCCCCCACCCCCGGGCCAATTGTAACCCAAGGGCTTTTATTTGTTTATTTGAACAGACTTGGTAGACACCCATAAGAAGATGTTTCATGCTAAACATCTAAGTTCTAGCTCATTGGGTTTTTTAAAAGTAGATTTTTAAAGTTTTTACTATACACATATAGTTAAAAACAATGACACCCCTGGAGCAGGGCCAGTTTTGACCCCCGGGCTTTTATTTGAACAAACTTTGTAGATATTTACTTAAAGATGTTTCATGCTAAATATCTAAACTCTAGCTATTTGGGTTTTTTCAAAGAAGATTTTTAAGTTTTTGCAATACACATAAAAGGAAAATCAATGACCCCCCCCCGGGCGGGGCCAGTTTTGACCCAAGGGCTTTTATTTGAACATACTTGCTAGACACCCATTAGAACATGTTTCATGCTAAATATCTTAGCTCTAGCTCTTTGAGTTCTTTAAAAGAAGATTTTTTAAGTTTTTACTATATGCATATAGGGAAAATCAAGGACCCCCTGGGGCGGGGCCAATTTTGACCCCAGGGCTTTAATTTGAACAAACTTGGTAGACACTCATTAGAAGATGTTTCATGCTAAATATCTTAGCTCTAGCTCTTTGGGTTCTTTAAAAGAAGATCTAATAAGTTTTTAATATATGCATATAGGGAAAATCTATGACCCACTGGGGCGGGGTCAATTTTGACCCCAGGGCTTTTATTTGAACAAACTTGGTAGACATTCACTAGAAGATGTTTCATGCCAAATATCTAAGCTCTAGCTCTTATGGTTCTTTAAAAGAAGATTTTTTAAGTTTTTACTTTATGCATATAGGGAAAATCAATGACCCCCCGGGGTGGGGCCAATTTTGACCACAGGGCTTTTATTTGAACAAACTTGGTAGACACTCACTAGAAGATGTTTCATGCTTAATATCTTAGCTCTAGCTCTTTGGGTTCTTTAAAAGAGGATTTTTTAAGTTTTTACTATATGCATATCGGGAAAATCAATGACCCCCTGGGGCGGGGCCAATTTTGACCCCAGGGCTTTTATTTGAACAAACTTGGTAGACATTCACTAGAAGATGTTTCATGCTTAATATCTAAGCTCTAGCTCTTACGGTTCTTTAAAAGAAGATTTTTTAAGTTTTTACTATATACATATAGGGAAAATCAATGACCTTCCGGGGCGGGGCCAATTTTGACCCAAGGGCTTTTATTTGAACAAACTTGGTAGACACTCACTAGACGATGTTTCATGCCAAATATCTTAGCTCTAGCTCTTTGGGTTCTTTAAAAGAAGAATTTTTAAGTTTTTACTATATGCATATAGGGAAAATCAATGACCCCCTGGGGCGGGGCCAATTTTGACCCCAGGGCTTTTATTTGAACAAACTTGGTAGACACTCACTAGAAGATGTTTCATGCCAAATATCTAAGCTCTAGCTCTTAAGGTTGTTGAAAAGGAGATATTTAAAGATTTTTCTTTCGGTTGCCATGGCAACCAGAGTTCTGCATGGAATTAAATTCTTTGAACAATTTTTAAAGGTGACCACCAAAGGAACATTCCAGTGAAGTTTGGATGAAATTGGCTCAGTGGTTTATGAGGAGATGTCATTTAAAGCAAAAGTTTACGGTCTTTCGGTTGTCATGGCAACCAGAGTTATGCATGGAATTAAATTCTTTGAACAATTTTTAAAGGTGACCACCAAAGGATCATTCCTGTGAAGTTTGGATGAAATTGGCTCAGTGGTTTATGAGGAGATGTCATTTAAAGCAAAAGTTTACGGACGGACGACGGACGGACGGACGACTGACGGACGGACGGACGGACGCCGGACGAAAAGCGATCACAAAAGCTCACCCTGTCACTTTGTGACAGGTGAGCTAAAAAAGCAAAGGAAAAGTAACAAAGGACAATAACTCTATAATAACTCTGGATAGAGTTATGATTCTTATGCACTGTACTTCTTCTTATTGTGCTTGAGCATTGTATAAAGTTGTTTTGAATTCCAACCAGTACTTTTCAAGTTATGCTCAGGACAAGGAAAAGCATCAAAGGGCAATAACTCTGTAAATACTTTAGATACAGTTATGGTTCTTACTTTAGATAAAGTTATGGTTCTTGTGCACTGCACTTCCTCTTATTGCGCTTGACCATTGTATGAAGGTATAATAACTGAATTCCTATCATTAGTTTTCAAGTTTTGCTCGTGACATTAGGTAAATGCAACTGACCGCTGGACCGACCGACTGACCACCGGGTGACTCTTCAAAACTTCGTCTCAGAGGGGGTGGGGGGGGAGAATTGCCAAAAGAATTGAAAACCGTTATATAATGAAAGTTGAAAATGTAAGTAAGCAAGTCACTGCTATGACTTGTAATGAAGTTTAAAAATATTCAACATGTAAATGCCAGACTTTACCTTGAACCCAGTAACCCCAAACTCCATCCAAACTTAACAGACCACCTTAGGTATAATATTCCATGTAAATATGAGACATTGGTAAAAAATTACAAAGCTGTATAAACAAGAGCTATCACAGGAGACAGCGAAGCTCAACTAATTAAAAACTGGACTCAGAAAGGAAGATAAAACTATGAAAAGATAATCAATTATGATATACATATATTTCTTCTTATGACAAAAAGATATAGTTGTTAGCATAAATTCTAGGGATGGCAACGAATACCAAAATCATTACTCGAGTACTCGGTCATTTTTCCGATCGAGTACTCGGTTACTCGGATGATTGCCAGTGATCTTCTAAGTTTATCACACAATATCAACACCGTCCGCATGCTACTTTCGTTTTCTATTTAAATTCATAGAATTCTGTAGATAGTAAATAGGACTGCACGGGAGACAAATTAATTATAATTAAATCAACAACATAATATTTAACAACGTTTTGATTAATGCAATATCAAGTTTTAAACATGTATAACAGTTCATATATCTTTTTTCTTCTTGAAATAATATAGAATGATCGGCGGCAACAAAAGGTTAACATGGTCTAAATACTAGTTACCTTTATTCTAAAATTCATGACAGCAATCGGCCCTTTGTTGTTTTCAAAACAGTTACTTCGGCTACACAATTAAAGGTAATTAAATATCATAAGTGGCTTGATGACATAAGCGACACAGGTGCGCGTGTCAAACTGTTGATCGCCTTGTTAAATTTATGATATCATTTTCGCACCTCTGCAAGGATGTTTCGTTTGCATTTAACGGGTATTTATGAAGATACATGCTAATTTCCGAATTTCTGAACTAATTGGATATACCAATCTCTAAATCGCAAAAAAATAGAAAATATATATTTTTCCGAGTAAACGAATATCAATTTTGTTAACCGATATTCGGACGTTCGAATTATTAAATTCCAAGTTCAATGGGGAATAATTCTGGAAATAGTCACACTAGAGTTATTGACCTTGTCACACAACATGTGTGTAATGATAAGAAATATATATTTGAAGTTTGAAGACAATACCTTAAAAAGTAAAGAAGTAATAATATTTCTTAAAGAAAATTATAAAAGTTCAAAAGGAGATAAATCTGAAAATACTGCTTCAAGAGTATTATGAACCTTGTCACATAAGATCTGGTTGCTGATGTGGAAAAAGTATTTGAAGTTTGAGGTAGATACCTTTAAAACTAAGGAAGTTACAAATTACACAAGAATGCATCACAGAGTCCTCAATTTGATCTGTCAGTATAAATTTTTTCCATGATATTTTTATTTTTGATAATATAATAGTTTTATTTATCCTGACGTAAAATTATTACAATCAGTTCAAATGACACTGAAGGTAAATGTACATTGCAAGAGCAGTGTTTATAAATAACCTATATTTAAGAAGAAAATGCTTAACTAACAGCTATACTGTTCACAAGGTGACACATCCAAATCACGCAGTTTTATTTTTTTCCTTTTTCTAATTTAGATTTTACACTTTTTCATTCAAAACTTGTTATTTAATGACAGAACAAGAGCCCGCTAAACCTTTTGGTGGTACAATTTTAAACTGACGTTTTTTTTACTTACTCATTTTAATCAACATACTGACCTATGCAGGTAAATAGGAGATATTTTACTTACCAAAAGTAGGTGTCAATTGTGTACCACAGTAACATATTATTGGGTTAAGGAAACTATTCTTCTCACATGCCATGCACACTTCTATTTTCTGAGTGCAGTTTTCCCTGTGCGTTTGATTCATGGATGTCTGCTTTGCTACAATACAAAATTTCAACTTATAAGGTCTTATATATACTTAAATTATAAAAATAAATGTTATCATATTAATGTAACATTTTAGAAACAAGAGGGCCAAGATGGCCCTAGATCGCTCACCTAAAAATTCGAACTCATCTGAGCAATTACTTAGAAAGTTTTTTACCTAAGGTGACCTATATTCAAACTAGACCTAGAAATCATCAAAACAACCTTGCAGACCAATTTCCAGGATATTTGGATAACAACAGTAGCCACTAGATAGTGATCAAGATTCTATTTTTAGCTTCTGTGACCTAGTATTTCATCAGAGATGACCCATGTTCGAACTCCACCAAGCAATTAAATAGACAAGCATCCTGACGAAGTTTTATGACCATTAGATTGTTAACAAGGTTTTTCTATATTTGAACAGTGTCACCTATTTTTTGACCCAAGGTGACCAATATTTGAGCTTGACAATGAAATCATCAAAACAAATTTTCAGTCCAATTTCCAGGATATTTGGATCAAAACAGTAGCAACTAGAGTGTTAACAAGATCTTTCTATTTTTAGTTCCTGTGACCTAGTTTTTGACCTGTGACGACAGGCCTAGAAATAATCAAAACAACCTTCCTGACCATTTTCCAGAATATTTGGATCAAAACTGAAGCCACTAGAGTGTTAACAAGATTTTTCTATTCTTAGCTCCTTTGACCTAGTTTTTGACTGGAGATGACCCATATTCCAACTTGGCCTAGAAATCAGCAAAACAACATTCCTGATCAATTTCCAGGACATTTGGCTAAAAAGTGCAGCCACTAGTGTGTTTTTGATCAAAACTTCATCCACTGGAGTGTTAACAAGATTTTCTATTTTTAGCTACTATGACCAAGTTTTAGACCCGAGACTACCCATATCCGACGGTGAGTCCTATATACCCCCCCCCCAAAACTTCGTTTTAGGGGAATAAAAAAGATAATTCTATTAAATTAACATTGACAGTCATGGTCAATTTAAGATCAAGATCACATCAAAATTATTTAATACACTCGTTAGCAAGTCTTGTTTTGTCAAAGTTTAAATAAAATCAGTAAATAAGGAACAAAATTATGACAATTTAATTAAAATTCAATAATTTGACCTTGACAGTCAAGGTAATTTAAGGCTAAATGTCAAGGTCAATTTAATTTTTTAGAAGTCTTGTCAAAAATGTTGTTTTGTCAAAGTATGAATATTATCCATTCATTTACTACCAAGTTACAGTCAATTATAGCAAAAATCAGTGAAAATTCAATGATTTAACCTTCAAGGTCAATATCATCAATTAGCCAAGGTCAATTTGAGTTTAATATACATGAAGATCTTATCCTAATGAATGTTCTTCTATAATGTGAAATCAATCCATTCATTAGAGTTATAGCCAGTTTAAACAATAAAAACAAGAGCCACCGCCGGGCGGGGGCAACGCTTGACTTTTTACTTTTTCTAAAACCAAACAAAGAAATGTTTGAACACATCTTAACCTTTCCTTTTTATTAATTTAACCAGTCTGTCTTGTCACATTAGTTTTGTCAAAGTATGAATTCTTTCCATATATATCCATATGTGTATTACAGAAGAAAAAAAAGAGACACATGGTGGTGTATATATATATTGCGTGTGTATAAATAAATATATATATATATATATATATATATATATATATATATATATATATATATAGATATATATAGATATATATATACATACACACCAATAAATATATATAGTCATTAAATGCACAAATCAGTGAAAATTCAATAATTTAACCTTCAAGGTCAAGGTCATAAAAGAGCCTAAGTCAATTTATTTTCATAAACATAAAGGTCTTTTCCTTAAAAATGTTCTGTTTTAATTATGTCTTTATATGAAGTCAATCCATTCAATAATGGCAAAGTTACAGCCAGATACAGCAAAAAAAATGAAAATTTCAATAATTTGACCTTCAAAGTCAAGGTCATTTATGAGTGAAGGTCAAGGTCTGTCTGGTTATTTTTAAGGCATATCCTTGAAGATTATTATGATCAAGTTTAAAGACAAATCCATTCATAAGTAACAAAGTTACAGCCAATAATAGCCAAAAAAATGAAAATTTCAATAATTTGATCTTCGTTGCCAAGGTCATTTATGAGTAAAGGTCGAGGTATGACTGTTTTTTTAAAGGCTATCCTTGAAGATTATAATGTAAAGTTTGAAGACAATCCATTCAAAAATAACAAAGTTACAGCCAATAATAGCAAGAACAAGCAAACTTTGGACTTTTGACCTTGAAGGTCAAGGTCACTTATGAATAAAGGTCAAGGTTAGTGTGGTCAACTGAAAGATCTTGCCAAGAACAAAAAGGTTATGATCCAGATACAAGTTTGCGGACGGCATCGGCAACGGCGCCAGAACTATAACAATACCTCTACTCTTTTTTCAAAAAAAAAAATCGAGCTAAAAATGAAAATTTTAATAAATTGACCTTCAATGTCAAGGTTATTTATGAGTAAAGGTCAAGGTTTGTCTGGTAAACATAAAGCTCTATCCTAGAGGATTATTATGTTAATGTTTGAAGATAATCTATTAAAAAAATAACAAAGTTAAAGCCATTTATAACAAGCAAGGCAGTCTGAAGGAAAGCTAAATCCCCTTCTGCAGTGAACTGTGTACTTCTTGACCTTATATTTAATATCTTATATAAAGTTAAAAAATATGGAAAATATTTAACCTTGACCTTGGAGGTAGCAACGTGGATTTGAATAAGTTATAGAGTGGACATGAAAAATAGATGTTTTTACATTGGACCTTTGAGTGTTACCCTGAACTTCAGGGTTTTGTCTTGATTATTGTGCTCTGCCAATGATGTCATAATGGTGACAATTTCTGTCAAGTTATCTTAAAAACTTTGCAGTGGTTAACTCTAAAAACGTTTACGTTTAAGTGTGACCTTGACCTTGGGAATAGCAACCCAATTATTGCGCTCTCACATCATCTCAAAATGGTGATCACTGGTGCCATGTTATACAAAGCATTTTAAGCCGTTTAAAAGTAAAGGTGCGGACACGAAATGCAGACTTTTAACATTTCACCTTTAAGTGTGACCTTAACCTTTTGGGTAGCAACCCTATAATTGCGATGTGCTTATCTTCTCATAATGGTGATCACCTGTGCCAATTTTTAAAAAAAAATCAGCTGTTTAAAAGGAGCGGACATGAAATGTAGAACATTTGACCTGTAAGTGTTACTTTGACCTTGGAAGTAGCAACCCAATTATTGCTCTCTGCACATCACCTCATAATGGTGACCAGTTGTGCCAAGTTATTTTTCAAAAAATTTCAGCGGTTAAAAAGTTATGGAGCGGAACAAAATGTAAACTTTTAACATTTGACGTTTAATTGTGACCTTGACCTTAGGGGTAGCAACCCAATTATTTTGCTGACAACGGAGGGATGGACTGACAGACGGGGGATACAGACAAAAGTCTCCCCTCTTCTGACCCTTGTTGTGTATATGAAAAGCTATGACAGACGGAGGCCATTTCTATGATCTCCTCCCCGCTACCTAGAAGGGGATTAAAAATCAGCAAAATCTAGACATTTTACCTTAATGACTGAAGGTCAGTCTTAGTCTGGTCTACTGAAAGTGTTGTCCCAAGGATTGTTGTGGCCAAGTCTGAAGACAATACACCAATAACTTAAAAAGTTATTATCAAGGCACAAGATGGCAAGGGCAACACCAACATGACTGTAAATATACCTGTATTTTCATAAAAAAGCTGAGCTAAAAGTGAATCAAAGGGAGATTATTTGTAAAAACACTTTTAGGGATTCAAGCAACATTCCAGGCCATGATTATCAAATTTGACCCATGGTGTTATCATCTGAAAAAGTTCTGGAAGACTTTGTGAAAATTAGTAATCACTTACCTTTTGTTTTGATCATGCAGGAATGACAAGCCTGTCCTCGTTCCTTTGAAACATCCAGAAAGCAGCTTTGACCAATGGCTGTATATATTTTCTGCAGGGAAATAAACACCATTGAGTTAAATAATATCAATCAGCTATTCAAAAGTTTTACAAACATTAAAATGTTGAGATATTAAAGTAACCTAAAATTAAACTAGAAATGTGTCCATAGGACACGGGTGCCCCCACCGCGCCACTGTTCTGTCAATCTTTTTACTAAGTCAAGGGAAATAACTCTACAAATACTGGATAAATCCACAAGCGAAACCCCAGGTGCAAATTTCTAAATATGCTGAGCAACCTGCCCATAAGGTTTAATGACTATGTCAAATCCTTTTTCAGTAACTTGAGACACAAGTTGAAAATTGCAAAAATTTTCTAAGTGAGGGGCAATAACTCTAAAAATACTAAATAAATCCAGACGAAAATACCTGGTGCACAACTACACATGCTGATCAACATTCCTGTAAAGTTTCATGACTCTAGGTCAAATACTTTTTGAGTTACGTGAGACACAAGTTGAAAATTGCAAAATTTTACTAAGTCAAGGGCAATAACTCTGAAAATACTTAAATATCCACACGAAAATACCCAAGTGCACAACAACACATGCTGATCAACATTCCTGTAAAGTTTCATGACTCTAGGTCAAATACTTTTTGAGTTACATGCAACACAAGTTGAAAATTGGAAAATTTTACTAAGTCAAGGGCAATAACTCTGAAAATACTAAAAATATCCACACGAAAATACCCAGGTGCACAACTACACATGCCGATCAACATTCCTGTAAAGTTTCATGACTCTAGGTCAAATACTTTTTGAGTTACGTGCGACACAAAAGTGAACGGACGGACGGACGGAAGGACGAACGGAAGGACGGACGGACAAGGGTAAATCTAAATGCCCGCCACTAACGTGGGGGCACAAAAATAATGAAACCCCTAAGTTTTGAGTAAAAAGGAAAGAAAAGCAAAGCAGTTAAAATGAAGTTGCTATTGATGTTTTTGTCATTGGTTTTTGGTGATTACAAGCAATTATCAAAGTATTGCAAGAAATACATAAGTCCCCTACAGGTTAGAATCCATGCAGCATTCAGAAGGTCCAAGACAATTCAATTATTCAATTGAGGAAGACATGGCATCGTCGAATACCCACGATTGATAAACATGTCACATAACATGCAATCAACCTTGGGTAAAATGAATCGATTTGCGTCGATATACAGCAACAGGTGCGTAAAATATCTACCAATGACATCGCGTTTAACAAATCTATATTCTTCAGCAGTGGAGGTAAAAAAACAATAAGAAACAAAATGGCAGTGCCCACGGTTAAATACTGTTGCACGTGTTTTGCTAAAATCAATGTCAAAAACTATCGCCAAATCAGTTCTTATGCAAGCAGATATCAATCAGAAAGGAAAACATCACGCTGTAAACGTAAATTATCTATACTTTCTTGCTGAAATCGTTTAATTTTTCGATGTTGAACTTTTCACGTCGTCTATGGTTGTCGCAAAATTGTTTGTAATACCGAACGTCGTACAGAACGAGCGTTTTGATTGGTTTTAATCGCCTCATGAAATCGTGAGGCAGCCAATGAAATAGCTGCCTTTGACACACCCCTAATCGACTGAATATCGGCAAAAAATCCCATGGCAGATAAATGTTAATGGTTCGGCCGTGGGTATCCGACGATGATTTTAATCTTTTGATTCTTAGTTTATCTGTAACATAGTAATGTGTTATTTAATTTCCATGCCTTATATGAAGTTTTGTGTATGCAATACATAAACAAAAGATCCAGTGGTCTAAGGATGAAAATGTATATCTAATTTTTTGCAACTTTCTCTATTTTAAGTAAATTTGTTGGCATTTGCTAGGTGCTCTTTAAGGAAAGAGTTTTAAGGGACAGACAGACAGACTGACTGATAGACAGATGGGCAAATCTTTAAATATACCTTGTTGTAACCAGAATATAACATTTTGAAAAGCAAAATTCTTAACATAAAAAGGAGATAACTCTTGAAATAAGGATGCTAGACTTATGAACATCAACATCATACATAATGGGAGCGATGAAAAAGAACAACTAGAGGGGGTTTTTGACAAAATAAAAAAAACTTGTCTCCCAAAACTAGGTATGATACTGATTATTCCTGGGAATTTTGGTCAAAATCCTGCCAGCAGTTTGACCTTTGAAACCCAGACACCAGACAAGATATTCTATTTATAGCTTTGACGGCCATTTGTGCGGCCATATGCACAACTAGGGATGGTATTGATCATTTCTGTGAAGTTTCATTTAAATCCCCCTAGCAGTTTGATCTGTGAGAGTAGGACAAGATTTTTTTAATTTTAGCTCTGGTGGCCATTTTATGAAGATAAGTGGAACGTGCCGGCAATATGCATAACTAGGGATGGCACTGATTACTTCTGTGAAGTTTGGTTAAAAATCCCACAAGCAGTTTAACATGTGAAAGCCACACAAGTTTTTTCTATGTTTAGCCCTGGTAGCCATTTTGTGCAGTGAAGCAGAATGTGCCGCTTGCCATATGCACATCTAGGGGTGGTACTGATCACACCTGTGTAGTTTCATTGAAATCAAACATGCAGTTCAACCTGTGAAAGCAGGACAACGTGTTTCTTTTTTTTTAGCTCTGACAGACATTTGTGCAGCTAAGTGGAACATGCCAGCCATTTGTACAACTAGGGATAGTATTTGTCTTTTTGAGAAGTTTAATTGAAATCCCACCAGCAGTTTGACTGTGCAGAGAAAGAAATCGTGACGGCCACATGCACAACTAGGGATAGTACTGATCACTTCTATGCAGTTTTATTGAAATCATGCCAGAAGTTTGGCCTGGTGTGAAAGCCGGACAAAATTTTCTATTTTAGGTCTTGTGGCTATTTTTACTATTAAAGAGACATAACTGTGTTAAAAGAATACAATTGGAAAATAAAAATACTATGCACAACTAGGCATGGTGACAAACAATCCTTTGAAGTTCCACTGAAGTCCCTCCAGCGGTTTTCGAGATGAAGCACAGACAAGGTTATCCGACGGACAGAGCGATTACTATATGCCGCCCTTTAGGGGCATTAAAAAGACATGCATAATCTCCAGACAGCAATCTACCCATATTTCAAGTTCCATAAAAATATTTTCAGTATTTTTTTGTGTTATCACTGGATTCAGTTTTGTGGATGGACAGACAGACAGGAAGACAACCTCAAAGTTTGGTATTTAAGTGGCTACTCTTCTGTTCGCTCAATTGTTTTTTAGCTCGTGCGTCGTGCGTCTGTGCGTCGTGCGTCCTTCAAAAAATGGCGTCAAACTTTTCAAACAACATCTCCTCCTAAACCACATGGCCAATTGCAACCAAACTTTACAGAATTGATCCTTAGGTGGACCCCTTTCAAAGTTGTTCAAACATTTAAATTCCATTAAAAACTCTGGTTACCATGGCAACCAATATTAAAAAATCCTAAGAGCTACAGCTTAGATATTTGGCATGAAACATCTTCTAGTGAGTGTCTACAAAGTTTGTTCAAATAAAAGCCCTGGGGTCAAAATTGGCCCTGCCCCAGGGGGTCATTGATTTTCCCTATATGCATACAGTAAAAACTTAAAAAATCTTCTTTTAAAGAACTAAAAGAGCTAGAGCTTAGATATTTAGCATAAAACATGTTCTAATGGGTGTCCACCAAGTTTGTTCAAATAAAAGCCCTGGTGTCAAAATTGGCCCCGCTCCGGGGGTCATTGATTTTCCTTATATGTGTATAGCAAAACGTTAAAAAATATTCTTTGAAAAAACCCAAATAGCTTGAGTATAGATATAATGCATGAAACATCTTCTAGTGAGTGTCTATAAAGTTTGTTCAAATAAAAGCCCTGGGGACAAAATTGGCCCCGCCCTGGGGGTCATTGATTTTCCTTATATGACAGTGTATAGCAAAAACTTAAAAATCTTTTTTGAAAAAACCCAGATAGCTAGAGTTTAGATAATAAGCATGAAACATCTTCTAGTAAGTGTCTACCAAGTTTGTTAAAATAAAAGCCCTGGGGTCAGAATTGGCCCCGCCCCAGGGGGTCTTTGATTTTCCCTATATGCATATAGTAAAAATTTAAAAAATCTTCTTTCAAAGAACCCAAAGAGCTAGAGCTAAGATATTTAGCATGAAACATCTTCTAATGAGTGTCTACCAAGTTTGTTCAAATAAAAGCCCTAGGGTCAAAATTGGTCCTGCCCAAGGGGGTCATTGATTTTCCCTATATGCATATAGTAAAAACTTAAAAAATCTTCTTTTAAAGAACTAAAAGAGCTAGAGCTAAGATATTTAGCATGAAACATGTTCTAATGGGTGTCTACCAAGTTTGTTCAAAGAAACGCCCTTGGGTCAAAATTGGCCCCACCCTGGGGGTCATTGATTTTCCTTATATGTGTATAGCAAAAACTTAAAAATCTTCTTTGAAGAAGCCCAAATAGCTGGAGTTTAGATATTAAGCATGAAAAATCTTCTAGTGAGTGTCTATAAAGTTTGTTCAAATAAAAACCCTGGGGTCAAAATTGGCCCCGCCCTGGGGGTCATTGATTTTCCTTATATGACAGTGTATAGCAAAAACTTAAAAATCTTGTTTGAAAAAACCCAGATAGCTAGAGTTTAGATATTAAGCATGAAACATCTTCTAGTGAGTGTCTACCAAGTTTGTTCAAATAAAAGCCCTGGGGTCAAAATTGGCCCCGCCCCAGGTGGTCTTTGATTTTCCCTATATGCATATAGTAAAAACTTTAAAAATCTTCTTTCAAAGAACCCAAAGAGCTAGAGCTAAGATATTTAGCATGAAACATCTTCTAATGAGTGTCTACCAAGTTTGTTCAAATAAAAGCCCTAGGGTCAAAATTGGTCCTGCCCAAGGGGGTCATTGATTTTCCCTATATGCATATAGTAAAAACTTAAAAAATCTTCTTTTAAAGAACTAAAAGAGCTAGAGCTAAGATATTTAGCATGAAACATGTTCTATTGGGTGTCTACCAAGTTTGTTCAAAGAAACGCCCTTGGGTCAAAATTGGCCCCACCCTGGGGGTCATTGATTTTCCTTATATGTGTATAGCAAAAACTTAAAAAATCTTCTTTGAAGAAGCCCAAATAGCTGGAGTTTAGATATTAAGCATGAAAAATCTTCTAGTGAGTGTCTATAAAGTTTGTTCAAATAAAAACCCTGGGGTCAAAATTGGCCCCGCCCTGGGGGTCATTGATTTTCCTTATATGACAGTGTATAGCAAAAACTTAAAAATCTTGTTTGAAAAAACCCAGATAGCTAGAGTTTAGATATTAAGCATGAAACATCTTCTAGTGAGTGTCTACCAAGTTTGTTCAAATAAAAGCCCTGGGGTCAAAATTGGCCCCGCCCCAGGTGGTCTTTGATTTTCCCTATATGCATATAGTAAAAACTTTAAAAATCTTCTTTCAAAGAACCCAAAGAGCTAGAGCTAAGATATTTAGCATGAAACATCTTCTAATGAGTGTCTACCAAGTTTGTTCAAATAAAAGCCCTAGGGTCAAAATTGGCCCTGCCCAACGGGGTCATTGATTTTCCCTATATGCATATAGTAAAAACTTAAAAAATCTTCTTTTAAAGAACTCGAAGAGCTAGAGCTAAGATATTTAGCATGAAACATGTTCTAATGGGTGTCTACCAAGTTTGTTCAAATAAACGCCCTTGGGTCAAAATTGGCCCTGCCCTGGGGGTCATTGATTTTCCTTATATGTGTATAGCAAAAACTTAAAAATCTTTTTTGAAAAATGACAAATAGCTGGAGTTTAGATATTAAGCATAAAACATCTTCTAGTGAGTGTCTACAAAGTTTGTTCAAATAAAAGCCCTGGGTTTAAAACTGGCCCCGCCCCGAGTGTCATTGATTTTCCTTATATGTGTATAGCAAAAACTTAAAAATCTTCTTTGAAAAAACCCAAATAGCTAGAGTTTAGATATTAAGTAATGAAACATCTTCTAGTTAGTGTCTACAAATTTTGTTTAAAAAAAAGCCCTGGGGTCAAAACTGGCCCCGCCCCAGGGGTGTCATTGTTTTAACTATATGTGTATAGTAAAAACTTAAAAAATCTTCTTTTAAAAAAACCAATGAGCTAGAGCTTAGATGTTTAGCATGAAACATCTTCTTATTGGTGTCTACCAAGTTTGTTCAAATAAAAGCCTTTGGATTAAAATTGGCCCTGACGGGATGGGGGGGAGCAGATCATTGTTTTTCATTATATGTGTGTAGTAAAAACTTAACATTGTGAAATATCTTCTAATGGGTGTCTTCCAAGTTTGTTCAAATAAAAGCCCTGGGGTTTAAACTGGCGCAGCTCCGGGTGCCTTAATAATGGTGAGCCATCATGACCCTCTTGTTTAGCCATGTAAGAGAAAAAGGAGCCACATAAGAGCTAAATGAATGAATAGCATCAGAGGAAATTTATTGTTACCTATTGTTCCCTTAGCCACCTATTCGAAGAGCTAGAGCTTAGATATTTAGCATGAAACATGTTCTAATGGGTGTCTACCAAGTTTGTTCAAATAAACGCCCTTGGGTCAAAATTGGCCCCGCCCTGGGGGTCATTGATTTTCCTTATATGTGTATAGCAAAAACTTAAAAAATCTTTTTTGAAAAAACCCAAATAGCTGGAGTTTAGATATTAAGCATGAATATCTTCTAGTGAGTGTCTACAAAGTTTGTTCAAATAAAAGCCCTGGGTTTAAAACTGGCCCCGCCCCGAGTGTCATTGATTTTCCTTATATGTGTATAGCAAAAACTTAAAAATTTTCTTTGAAAAAATCCAAATAGCTAGAGTTTAGATATTAAGTAATGAAACATCTTCTAGTAAGTGTCTACACATTTTGTTGAAAAAAAGCCCTGGGGTCAAAACTGGCCCCGCCCCAGGGGTGTCATTGTTTTTAACTACATGTATATGTGTATAGTAAAAACTTAAAAAATCTTCTTTTAAAAAACCAATGAGCTAGAGCTTAGATGTTAAGCATGAAACATCTTCTTATTGGTGTCTACCAAGTTTGTTCAAATAAAAGCCCTTGGATTAAAATTGGCCCTGACGGGGTGGGGGGGAGTAGATCATTGTTTTTCATTATATGTGTGTAGTAAAAACTTAGCATTGTGAAATATCTTCTAATGGGTGTCTTTCAAGTTTGTTCAAATAAAAGCCCTGGGGTTTAAACTGGCCCAGCCCAGGTGACCCATCATGGCCCTCTTGTTTAGCCATGTAAGAGAAAAAGGAGCCACATAAGAGCTAAATGAATGAATAGCATCAAAGGAAATTTATTGTTACCTATTGTTCCCTTAGCCACCTAATTACGGACAGACATAGGATGGAGGGTATCTAGTTAAACCAAACCAGAGCCGGTTGAACTGTGTGATGCTCCCCGAATAGGTTTTGGACACAGGAAGGTATACCTCATGTAGTGTCAGAGTTATGTCACAGACAAAGTTCAAAGTGATCAAACAAGGTAGCAACCAAACAAATGCGCGCGACACGTCGGTTCAATATGGTAATAATTTCTGTGAAATAGTTGTAAAATCAGACTTCAAGTAACAAAGTTATGGGCCGAACACGATTTTGCTGCAAGGTCATGCTGTGACCTTGAACTTCAAGGAAGCGACCAAAATACTGCGCGCGACACGACGTCCAAATATGGTTATCATTTCTGTGAAATAGTTGTAAAATCGGACTTCAAATAACAAAGTTATAGGCCTGACATGATTTTGCTGCAAGGTCATGTTGTGACCTTGACCCTCAAGGTAGCGACCCAAATGTTTCGCACCACAAATCGTCCCAATTTGGTGATCATTTCTGTGAAATACGACTTCAAATAACGAAGTTATGGGTCGAACACGATTTTGCTGCAAGGTCATGTTGTGACCTTGACCTTCGACAAAGCGACCCAAATGATGCGCGTGAAACATGGTCTCTATATGGTGATCATTTCTGTGAAATAGTTGTAAAATCCAACTTTAAATAACGATGTTATAGGCCAGACACGATTTTGCTGCAAGGTCATGCTGTGACCTTGACCTTCAAGGATGTGACCCAAATTTGCGCAGAACATGTCATCTAAATATGGTGATCATTTCTGTGAAATAGTTGTGAAATCAGACTTCAAGAAATGAAGTTATTGGCTGGACATGAATTTAGGATGTACGTTCGGACGGACAACCCGGCGACTAGATGCTCCCCCGAATTTTTCGGGGAGCATAAAAAGGGACTTATGAGCATAATTATGTTAATCTTACATAACTATAAACTATGCAAAGGCAATTTGATTCTGTAATAAACCATTTTTGAAGAATTAAGATTGGTCACCATCATTTTGAAAATTAACCAAACCTTAAAGGGATATTCAGGCAAAATAATGACAAAAATATTAAAATGATATTATGTACTCAGATCACGCTAAAACGACATTTCTTGAAGTTTCAGCATGAATTTCTGTTTAAATTCTATATATTTTGGGTTGCAGGCGTGAATATATCTATATAGGTTGAACAAAATTTAGACCCGAATAGAATCACCAAATAATTTAAAACAAGTCACGTGACTTGAACAAAAATAACAGATATTGTGGATATTGTATGATTGAAACAAGTCTAAGTCATTCATTTGACATGTTCTTTAACGTTTCCAGAGTTCACTTTGACAACAACTATTGTGAAATCCTAGCGCTTTTACCTGACCCACGCGGTTCAAGTTAGGAAACCACCATTTTATTCTTTATATGGTGAAAAGTTTTGTTCCTTTGACTGTCTAATATATTCATTGTCTAATATATTCATTTTGAGGGAATTTACAGAATAATGAATGAAACAATCAAAACTAAGAAATAAAAAATTTGTTTGTGTCTGCCTATAAAATAAATAGTAGTTATGTATTACTAATGACCTGGCTTCACACAAAATCTTAAAACTTTCAGCCTAAGTATTCTATGGTCTGATAAGCTGTCAGTTGTCAAGGTTACTGTGACCTTGACCTTTGATAGACTGGCCTCTAATAAAAGGGGAGGGAGGTAGGAAAGCCTAAAAGTACATGATATGCATTTCAAACAAGCTTCAATGAAGTATTGGAAAAAGGCAACGCACAGGAAACATTTAAAACATCCCCATTTTAACATCAATCATAAGATCTTACTATTAACTCATTGATGACATTATCTGTGAAATCTTTAACTTTCCAATTAGTTTGTTCTAGCAGTTTTGTTGCGATATCATTCAGTTTTTCATGTGCATTTTCTAGATGATCATGTTCCCATATTTTTTTCTGTAAAGTATAAATACAGAACATCTTAAAATATTAAATAAAGTTGTTTTGTTTGGAGCTAACACAATTACTGTCATATTACACTGTAAATGTCTTATTTTGGACACTTAATTAGAGTTGCAAGATAATGAAGAAAAAAACACTTGTTGTCACGCTGTTTATCAAGTAACAATGGATTGTGCAAATAATGTATACTGTGAAAAGAAATACAGAAACAAGTATAAAATGTACCACGAAATATAAAGGAACAAGCATTTTTCATCACACATCAAATTAAAAGAAATGAATTAGCACACAAGGCTGCTGAGACATAATATTTAAAACCTCATCAAAAATATTTCCATAAAAGACAAGTATCATTGATAAGGATTTTTGTATCCATATACGAGTAAATAATTATCAGCAATACAGCGATATATTGATTGCCTGGCAATATTTTAGCTTTCAAGTCTTTTCAATGTTTTCTAAGGACACTGACTATGCAGAGTTTGAGCATATGCATATTGTAAAAAAAGATGAATAAACTTTTTCCAACAAACATGAAATGTTTCCATAATTCACTGTTTTTTTTTTCTCTTATTCTTTCCATAATTTTAATTTAATTGTTGTTGTCTCCCACAACAAGGTATCACTCCTGGAAAATTTGTCAAAATCCCACCTGCAGTTTGAACTGTGAAATCAGGTCAAGATTTTTCTACTTATAGTTCTGGCAGCCATATTGTGCAGCGAAGTGAAACTTGCTGGCAATATGCACGTCAAGGGATGGTACTGATCACTTCTTAAAGTTTCATAGAAATCCTTATGCAGTGTGACCTGTGAAAGCTAGACAAGATTTTTAGCTCTGGCAGTGAAGCAGAATGTCCCAGAAACGCACTACAAGGGATAGTACTGATCAATTCTGTTAAGTTTCATTGAAATCCCACCAGCAGTTGACCTGTGAAATCAGGACACGATTTTTCTATTCAAAGCGCTGGTGGCCAATTTGTGCAGCAAAGCTGAACATACAAGCATTATGCACAACTAGGGATAGTACTGATTGAGCCTGTTAAGTTTGGTTGAAATCTCTTCCAGACCTTTGACAAAAGAGATCACAACAAGCTTAATGCGGACAGACAGACAGCAAGGGAAAAAAGCAAAATGTCTTCCAAAATTTTTGGAGATATAACATATACAATACATTTTGATTTTTTTATATTGGGTGTACATGAGACATTTACCAAACTACTTGTGTCATATTACACTTACATTTAGAAATAATCCCGGTTGTAAAAAGTCCATGCTTTTCCAGGGATTTCCATGGAAAATAAGAGGCTGGAGTATAGGAACAAAATTTTCCAGTCTTTTCCAGGCTAAAGCTGGGAAAAATGGGCTGGAAAAAAACATGGAACATTTTTCATGCTGCATGGAATATTTTCCATGTTTTCCATGGAAAAGCAGGGACTTCATTCCATGCTTTTCCATGTAAATGTAGTATTGGAACAAAAGATGGATTTTTTTCCAGGGTATTTAATGTGTCTGCCAACCATAGAGGCTGGACTTTCGCACATTGTAAATAGTCCAGTCTTGATGGAATAACATGGAAAAAATCCAGCCTTATTCCAGCATCCCTGAATGTTCTTAAAATGTAAAATTCTGGGACAAAATTCAGCACAGAAATGTTTGGGGTGGAGTTTTTATGAGTTTAACATGATCACATATTTCTATCACAAAATTTAATACATATCCTTTGGTCCAAATACAGAATAGAACACCCTACATTCACTATAACACAGTTTTTTTCTAGCTGCAGGTTTTGGTAGGTTCTGGTTTTCTTAAAATCCAACACTTTGTTTTTAGCAATTGTTTGCTCTAAGTCTGTCAGTGAGAAACTGTTTCAATCTTAAATTTGTTTCAAATGTTTCTGATTATTTAAATTACTATATCTTTTATTGATGTCCATGTTTAGTCCCCTGTCTGTGTTTCCTAGAACTTCTTGTGGTTGTGATCAGCTTTAAAGATAAAATTCATAATTTAAATCAAACGCAGATGCGGTAATGAATTGTGTTTTATTGCATATATGCAGTTATATTTCATTTCTTTTAATAACATCAACTTTAATGTTTCAACAGTATTAACTACTAAATATTAACTATGCTTATGCATATTCAAAAATACTAAAGCAATGCAGTACATCTTATTTCAATGTGCACAAGTGTTTAAGAATTTCTCTGTATAAGAATTTATTAATTTTGTGACAATATTATTACAGAGTATGTATTTTTTCAAGAAAAGATGTGGAATAGAAAAGTATAGAGATTTAAAATATACCTTTTCAGGATTAATACTCCACATCATTATTAAACACCGCTGGTAATTCTCAAAGTCATCACTTATGTCCCAGCCTGCAAGTTATGTATGTATAATGTAAAATGTAATTTTAGATTGTTCCATTGAAAACACAACACATATATGTAAAATAACAAATGATTATGATGACCAGGCTGTTCAACTGTGCAAAACTACTGATTGTACCATTTAGTCCTATTTAATCAAATTGATTTAATTTGTTTAATTTGCAGGAAATGAAAAAGACGTACTAACATGCCATTAAAACAATATACACAATCATTATATAGAATCATTGAATAATTTATATTTTACAGATTATACATGTATAGATTAAAATCAATTATCAGAAAAACAAATGCATGAAGTTGAAAATATAACAAGAGCTGTCGGTAGGACAGCAACGCTCGACTATTCTTAGTGCTTGATAGTAAAAGAGCCTTGATAATGTAAAATTTTCTGAGTAAATACAATAAGGACAAAATATAGAATATGAAAATATCTGAGGTGGTATTCAAACCTAAATATAAATTCTAAGTAAAAAAGGGGTATAATTCTGTCAAAACGCTTGATACAGTTCTGTCTACAGGTTGGGGTTATAATGGTGAGCAAGTGTGCAAAGTTTCAAAGCCATATGTCAATGGACTTTTGAAAATATTTGAGGTATTACAAAAACTGTAACATAAATTCATTGTCGAAAAGGGGGCATAATTCTGTCAAAGTGCTTGATACAGTTACCTTCCCCTGTCGACAGGTTAGGGTTATGATGGTGAACAAGTGTGCAAAGTTTCAAAGCCATATGTCAATGGACTTTGAATATATTTGAGGTATTACAAAAACTTTAACATAAATGGTTACGCCGACACCGACGCTCGGGTGACTACATAGCTCTACTTATTCTTATCGAATAGTCGAGCTAAAAACAACCTTGATCTCTTGTTACCAATGTTTATAGTTTGATACATAACCTACTTCTCCATTAATGTAATTTAAGGTTTATAAATACTTTATTCTATTCTGTTGTATATCTCCTTGTCCCAGGTGATTCTGATTGTTATCATACCAATACTTAAACACTTTAAAATCTTAAACAAAACTTTATCTCCAAAATTGCTAAAATATCAAGTACATCCTCTGTAATTTGCACTCTTTACTGACCCAGATATCTTAGAATTCAAAATTTACAACTGTATAACTGGATAGGTCCATCATTATGTAAAGCAGTGTTAATCTACTCATCATTTTAACTTTCATTCAATGAGCGTAAAAGAAAATATCAAATAACTAACAGATATTTAGATTTTAAAAATCATTACAAATTTTTGTACAAAAAAGAGTGCAATGTCCTTCTAGACACATTTTGCATATGAAATTTATTATGTTATCTCTCCCCAAAATAATCACATGAAACAGCCTGATCTGTCGGAATGACCAGTGAATAAATTAGTCATGCACAGATTGTGGGAGGAGTTTTATCAGTGCTCTGATCTGTGAAGTGTAAAATATCAGTGAATGTAGTATTTATTTTTCTAAATAAAAGCAATATATATTATTCAATTTTATATAGAATATAAATAAAATATTATATGAGATTATTTAATGCACTGTTTTTGTTTTGTTTGTTTCTATATTTATTTATTGTTATACAAAAAACATGAATTCTTAAAATTTAAAAATGGCAAGCAATACAATCCCATCTTGATTATTAGTGTCTGAATGATTGAATCACAGACTTAAGTTAATTTATAATTAAACTTAAAGCCTGTAATTAAATGGATATTACTCCATTGTACATAACTTCATGTAGATTTATCTAAATAATAATATGTAATTGACAATCAATTCATTTTATTTTTTAGCATAGACATTTTTTGAGATACCCTTTTACAATTATACATGAAAGGTTAAAAGTCATTTAGAGTAACTAAGTGCATTAAAATCAATGATGATTTTATATTATCTTCGTAAATTTACAATATTGATCTGAATATATAAGGTCAGATTTCTTGTTGTTACTTTTACAAGCTTTTTTCCAGCATACTTAGAGAAAATTAACACATTTCCAGCATCATAAAAATCTAAGTTCCACTTTCCATGCTACATGGAAGTAAAGTCCATGGTTTTCCAGTCTTTAACAACAAATGTCCAGCCAATTTCCAGCCTATTCCAGCCATGCTGGAAATGGCTGGACAAAAAAAGTCCATAAAGCATGGAAAAAATACCACATTCTCCATGAGCTTCCATGGAATTCGATGTTTTTCCATAGTTTTCCAGGGTTTACCAGCCTCTCTTCAAGGCTTACCCTGGAAAATCTACACCAAGGATTTATTATAACCAAAACAGTGATTTTATAGCTCAATAACATCACTGTTTGGAGTTGGGATGAGAGGATTTATATCATGAGGGCGTAGCCCGATTGATATAATAATCATGCGCATCTGAACGTCAAACTGTGATTTTATTGCATAACAACACACACTTTCAGTTCTTCTATGTTCAATGGGAAAATGTTGTGTTAGAATTAGTAGATAAAATGTGACTGAGAATACTTTCACATGATGCACTAAAGTAACGCTGGTTACCTAATAAAAGTTACCCTGACAAAACTGTTAAAAAATAAAAATCATTAAAGGGCCATTACTCTGGCTATTATTTTATTGTAAAATTTTCTGTTAAAATTTTCATGAATGAGAATTAAAATATTTGTAAGAAATTAACAGGAACCTTTTTAACTTATGCATAAACACAAATACAGATAAATTATGCTAATAAATATATGTTTTATTATGTAACAATTAAAAAAAAACAACCTTATCACTTTATTCAAAGTTAAAAGTAGGTTTCCTATCAAAACAAAGAAATAACCAATGTAGTACTAACTTTTTAAGTTCTTTACAGTCATATAAAAATAAACTTTACAATAGAGATGACATTGTTACAAGATATGACATGTTTTCTTACATATATATTATCCGTGATATATTCAGCTTTCATGTTCATCAAGTGTCTTGGTCCCTGGCCTTCTGGTCCAAATGTGGTAATCATTTCTCTCACAACTATTTGTAAAGAAGTAAAATGACAAAATTTTCAAATATTCCACCTTTCTTTTAGCAAAAAGTTACATTGCAAAAGGGTTTATGTAGCAATTTTTGACATTTCTAACATAACTTAGTTGGTCATATGATAACAATTAAAACAAAAACCCGGTTAGAACCAGGTGATGCTCCTCAAAAAGGTTTTGAACACAGGAAAATACACTTCTTGTAGTTTCAGAGTTATGTCCCAAAGTTCAAAGTGTAATTATTCCAAAATTAGGCAAGGCAGAGTTATTGTTCCACACTCTCGACTTCTAATCAATGAGATCTATCTATCTACAAAGTTTCTTATTGATACCTATAGTGGTTTCCTATTGATTACTAGTTATAATCCGGACAAAGTTCAAAGTGTAAAAAAACAAGGGCAATAACTCAAAATAAGGCAAGGCTGAGTTATGATTCTTGTGCATTGCACATCTACTAATTGAGGTCTATCTACCTAAGTTTCATATGATATCTCGTATAATTTTAGATTTATGTCCTGGACAAAGTTCAAAGTGTAAAACTAAACAAAGGGCAACAAGCAAATTCGTTGAATTTATATCCCACGCCGAGTACTGGTTATTACTAACACAACAACTGAAGACATAAGGCTTTATTTATATATATTTATCATGGCGTAAACAGTAATATTCTTTGTACATGATAGTTAATTCAGGGCAATAACAGAGCCATAACTCTGTGTTTAATAGTAATAGCTGGACATGCCAATGAGGTGTAAAAATTGCCTTTTAATATTGATGGTTGCCAGTTTTGTTGAAATCAACACAGCAGTTGCAAAGAAATAGCAATTAATATTGCTCTATATGCATACTACATAACTAATCAAGGGCCATAACTCTGTAATGAAGGGTCTGGTCAGAACAAGGCAATAAATTGTGCACATCTCCTCTTGGTCTTAATGGTTCCCATAAAGTTTAATTGAATCCCAGCTAATAGTTGCAGAGAAGAAGCGTGGAAACAATTATTGCTCTATATGCATACTGCTTAACTAATTAAGGGCCATAACTCTGACTTAAAGTGTCTGATCAGAACAAGATGGTGATATGTGCATCTCCTATTGGTATTAAAGATTCCCATAAGGTTTGCCCTGAATGCATACTGCATAACATATCAAAGGCCATAATACTGAGCTAAATGGTCTGACAGAAACAAGGCGACGATATGCGCATCTCCTGTTGGTATTAAAGGTATCCATAAAGTTTCTTTGAATTCCAGCCAGTAGTTGCAGAGAAGTAGCGCGGAAACTATTATTGCTCTATATGCATACTGCATAACTAATCAAGGGCCATAACTCTGAGATAAAGGGTCTGACCGGAACAAGGCAACGATATGCGCATCTCCTCTTGATATTGATGATTCCCATAAAGTTTTGTTGAATTCCATCCAGCCAGTAGTTGCAGAAAAGAGCACAGAAACGATTATTGCTTATATGCAAACTGCAAAATTTATCAAGGCCCATAACTCTGAGTTAAAGAATCTGCCTGGAACAAGGCGACGATATGCGCATCTCCTGTTGGTGTTGAAGGTTCTCATAAAGTTTCGTTGAATTCCAGCCAGTAGTTGCAGAAAAGAGCGCAGAAACGATTATTGCTTATATGCAAACTGCAAAATTTATGAAGGGCCATAACTCTGAGTTAAAGAATCTGCCTGGAACAAGGCGACGATATGCGCATCTCCTGTTGGTATTGAAGGTTCTCATAAAGTTTCGTTGAATTCCAGCCAGTAGTTGCAGAGAAGAAGTGCGGAAAGGATAATTGTTCTATATGCATACTGCATAGCTAATCAAGGGCCATAACTCTGAGTTAAAGTGTCTGACCGGAGCAAGGCAACGATATGCGCAGCTCCTCTTGGTATTGATGATTCCCATAAAGTTTCATTGAATTCCATCCAGTAGTTGCAGAGAAGTAGCACTGCAGAGTTAGAATTCTTGTGTGCTGCACATTGACCCATTAAATTCTATCTACCTAAATGTTTCATGTTGATATCTCTTATAGTTTTAGAGTAATGTTTTAGACAAGATTTTTCTAAAAGGGGAGAATATTCAAAAAACGGGGCTCAACAGAGTTATGGTTCTTTGCACTGCACTTCTACCCAATGAGATTTATCTACCTACAAAGTTTCATGTTGATATCTCTTAAAATCTAAGAGTTATGTTCCGGACAAAGTTCAAAGTGTTGAAATGAACAAAGGGCAATACTCCAAAATTAGGCAGAATAGAGTTTGATTTCTTGTGCATTGCATATCTAACCATTGAGATCTATTTACTTACAAAAGTACAAAAAAGAGTTATGGTTCTATGACTCGCCTCTGTGCCCTCTATCACTGTGTGAACTTTAAACAAATTATCTCCAAGGGTTGTCAAGTTATGCTCCGGAAAAGACAATGGTCAGACGGACAAATTGAAGGACAAGGCGGCGACTATATGCACTCCCTTCGGGGAGCATACTAACATATACCTAAACTTATCCACCTTTTTTGGTTGAGTTTTATATGACACCAATACAGTGTAGGTCATATGGCGACTTTCCAGCTTTACTGGTGGAGGAAGACCTTCATGCCCTTCCATGCATTATTTAGTAAGCTAGCAGGATAGATTCCTCAAATAAAAGAATCCAAAGTTCCTGTCACTAAAGCTAACTTTGTCACTTAATGAAGTTTTGTATACTTACTGACACCAAAACTATAATAATCCCAGCTCTCGTTTGCACTTTCTGTTCCTACATTAGGATGTAAATAAAACAATCTTCCACCAGCTGTAGTTTTCATATTATCCTCTTCACTTACCAAACCAAAGTCAATAAGGCGGGCATTATACATTTCATCCAACACAATATTTTCAGAGGCTATGTCTTTGTGAAGAACTACAGCTCTGAAACACAGCACTGACATGTTACAACAGAGGGAAGTTATTACTTTAAACAAAAGTTAACTTTTAAGATAAATCACAGTCTTGAAACACAATACTACCTAAGATACATGAATGGGATCACTGATATCTTGTACAAAATACATCATTTCTGGCTTTCCTAATTTTTTCATAAAGTATTATAATATATGAATGTAATTTCCCTTTACAACCTGCTAACAAGAACAACAAGCAATTATCATAGTATTGCCAGCAATCCATAAGTCCCCTACCGGTTAGAACCCCAGTTTCAAGTAAATCCTAAAACGATTATGAAGAAGTTGGGAGTAAAAAATACCAATTTTTCCAAAAAAGTTTAAGGGGCAGTAATTCTGAAAATAGTCTTGCTAGAGTATTGAACCTTCTCATATATGTTGAGTGATAATAAGAAACATACATATGAAGTTTGAAGCAGATACATTAAGAAATAAAGAAGTTATTAAAAAAAAAACATTTTTATGAAAATTCTAAGTTCAAGGAAGATAATTCTGATAATTTTTGTGCTAGAGTTGAAAACCTTGTCACATATATGATGTGTTGATGACCAGAAATAATATTTAAAGTTTGAAGTAAATACCTTAAGAAATAAAGAAGTTATAGTGAAAAAGCGTAAAAATCAGAAATCTTGAAATTCAGTGTATTTGTGGCCATAGCATCCAGAATTTTCAACAAAAGAAGAAATATGTCAAGTTTCATAAAAATATTTTCAGTACTTTTTGCGTTATCACTGGATCCAGTTTATATGTAATATCTGCCCTATTTCCAGTCTATTTGTTGCCATAGCAACCAGAATTTTCAACATAGGAAGAAAAGGAAATGACGTGCATAATCTCCATACTGCCATCTATCCATATATCAAGTTTCATAAAAATATTTTCAGTACCTTTTGTGTTATCGCGGGATCCAGTTTTGTGGATGGACGGACTGACAGACGGACGGACGTACGGACAGAGGGTAAACCTAAAGTCCCCTCCGGTAAACCGGGAGGGAATATAAAGCCTTATTTAAGTACAAGTACTTCAGCAATTAGCCAAATCCAGGTCAATCCTCTGTCAATTGTTGAATGGAAAAAAAACCTTAATGAACAGGTTTACTCGTTTTTTGCATTAGCCTTAAGTGTTTTTTGTGAAACTTTCCAATGCATAAACTGCTCTGATCCATAATATATATATATATATATATATATATATATATATAGCGGGAAAAAAAGAATGAAGTGATGCCTTTTCCAGTTTACATTGCAATTGTTTATTAACAAAACTGTAATAAATAATTGAAGAGAAATATCAACCGGTTTCACCCGTTAAAGGGATCTTCAAGATAATGACGTTAATAACGTCACTTGGTAATGACATCAAAACAGTGTAAAGGGACGTTACTCTTATAAAGTTTTAAAGGGACATAATAATAAGCTTTAATATTATTGTTATATAATTATATATCAAAGTTATTTTGAATTCAATTCTGGTTTAAAAACGTTTATAAATACATTTTATTTCATTCTTCTTTTGAATGTGTCTGGTTCTCGTATTTTATAGATTTGGCATTATATTAAACTTTGAAGTGATGTCTCTTGTGCAAATGGCAATGTGTCAACTGACTGGTAATAATGCATTGTCTGGATTTCGTATATGTTGGCTGTGTAAAATGTTACTCGATTTCTTAAATTTGAAGTTTCTCCAATATAATCTTTGGAACAACCATTACATTTCAATGCATAAATTACATTTCTAATGTCGCATGATCCTGAGAATTTTACTTTAAATTCGCGGCCATTCTTGAAATGGTATGTATTTCCTTCTATAATGTGTTTGCCATTCTCACTAGCTAGACGACTTTGTACAATTATATCAAATAGAGACGTATTACATCTCAGATTAAATGAATTAAACAAATTCCTGGCTTCTTTAAAATATCCTCAGAAACTTATAGAAAACGGCATCCAGAGAGCTTTAGCAATAGAACAATCCGAACTACGGAAGACAAAACTAAAGACGGACGAGAAAGTTATACCATACGTGTCAACACATAATCCAAGGAATACCGAATTTTTCACAGTAATACAAGAAAATCTACCAATATTACAAAATGATGAAATAATGAAAGGAATTATTGACAGAAGCCATATAATTAAAAGTAAAAGACAACCGGCTAATCTGAAAAAACTTTTGACCAGGGCACGATTTTCTTCAACACTGAGAAAGAATAAAATAAAAAGATGCAGCAGTTTAAAATGCGGCCTGTGCAAACACATTATAGAAGGAAATACATACCATTTCAAGAATGGCCGCGAATTTAAAGTAAAATTCTCAGGATCATGCGACATTAGAAATGTAATTTATGCATTGAAATGTAATGGTTGTTCCAAAGATTATATTGGAGAAACTTCAAATTTAAGAAATCGAGTAACATTACACAACCAACATATACGAAATCCAGACAATGCATTATTACCAGTCAGTCGACACATTGCCATTTGCGCAAAAGACATCACTCCAAAGTTTAATATAATGCCAATCTATAAAATGCGAGAACCAGACACATTCAAAAGAAGAATGAAAGAAACTGTTTTAATAAACGTTCTTAAACCAGAATTGAATTCAAAATAACTTTGATATATATATAACAATAATATTATAGCTTATTATTATGTCCCTTTAAAACGTTATAAGAGTAACGTCCCTTTACACTGTTTTGACGTCGTTACCAAGCGACGTTATCAACGTCATTATCTTGAAGATCCCTTTAACAGGTGAAACCGGTTGATAATTCTCTTCAATTATTTATTACAGTTTTGTTAATACAATTGCAATGTAAACTGGAAAAGGCATCACTTCATTCTTTTTTTCCCGCTATTTTATCCGTATTGTTTTAAACTTACATTTTGGATATATATATATATATATATATATATATATATATATATATATATATATATATATAAATAAAACAAAAAACACAGTCCATGAGTTAACTTATTTAATTATTTGCCAACCGGTTTCTCTTATGATCATCAGGGCAAATATGACGTCGTCGCATAGTAACGACGACGTTTTTGTGTACACATGTGTACGCATAATCTAAAAATAGTAACGTCATTATATAGTATTAAGTTTTGGATTAAAAACATCAATAAAATAGCGTTCTTTAGATAACCTAGCTGAAACGTTTTTACTGTGAAATTTATAAAATGGGAAAATACAAAATTTCGGGTCTTTTTTAGAGCATTTATCTAAATGCTCACTTAAAGGTAATTGTCTGGTTGATGGGTCTCTTATCTGCTGAGCATGAACAGTTTTTCTGTTTCTGAGTTTGTCACCTGTTTGGCCTATGTAAAATTCTTTGCAGCCGTTGCAAACTAAAACATATAAAACATTTTCAACAGTACAGTCCATATTTTCTTTTGTATGAAATATTTTATTCTGAAGTTTTAAAGAATATCCTTCTATTAAATAATCACAGAGGCCACACCTCTGTTCGTTGCATTTTTTAACACAGGGCATTATATTGTTTTCTTTAAATTCTGAACTTATTAAAATGCTTTTTAAATTTGGTAATTGTCTTTTGCATTTTATTATGTTGGTGTTGCTTATTATCTTTTTCATTTTTTCATCATGTTTCAGAATTTCCATGTTTGTTTTAATTATGCCAAACAATTCTCTGTTTTTCGGGTTACATGTTGAAATATATGGAAGAATTTTGTTTTTTGGTTGCTCCTTAACTTGAAGTAAGGTGGTTCGGGGAATCTCCAAAGCTTTTTTAATACCAGTTTTTATAAGTTGAATTGGAAATTTTCTTTTAATTAGAGTGATGGCGAGTTCCTTTAGTCTAATCTTAAGTATTTCCTTATCAGATACAATTGCACATATTCTTCTTGCTAGCGAAAACGGGATATTTGTTTTAATGTGTTAAAACAAATATCCCGTTTTCGCTAGCAAGAAGAATATGTGCAATTGTATCTGATAAGGAAATACTTAAGATTAGACTAAAGGAACTCGCCATCACTCTAATTAAAAGAAAATTTCCAATTCAACTTATAAAAACTGGTATTAAAAAAGCTTTGGAGATTCCCCGAACCACCTTACTTCAAGTTAAGGAGCAACCAAAAAACAAAATTCTTCCATATATTTCAACATGTAACCCGAAAAACAGAGAATTGTTTGGCATAATTAAAACAAACATGGAAATTCTGAAACATGATGAAAAAATGAAAAAGATAATAAGCAACACCAACATAATAAAATGCAAAAGACAATTACAAAATTTAAAAAGCATTTTAATAAGTTCAGAATTTAAAGAAAACAATATAATGCCCTGTGTTAAAAAATGCAACGAACAGAGGTGTGGCCTCTGTGATTATTTAATAGAAGGATATTCTTTAAAACTTCAGAATAAAATATTTCATACAAAAGAAAATATGGACTGTACTGTTGAAAATGTTTTATATGTTTTAGTTTGCAACGGCTGCAAAGAATTTTACATAGGCCAAACAGGTGACAAACTCAGAAACAGAAAAACTGTTCATGCTCAGCAGATAAGAGACCCATCAACCAGACAATTACCTTTAAGTGAGCATTTAGATAAATGCTCTAAAAAAGACCCGAAATTTTGTATTTTCCCATTTTATAAATTTCACAGTAAAAACGTTTCAGCTAGGTTATCTAAAGAACGCTATTTTATTGATGTTTTTAATCCAAAACTTAATACTATATAATGACGTTACTATTTTTAGATTATGCGTACACATGTGTACACAAAAACGTCGTCGTTACTATGCGACGACGTCATATTTGCCCTGATGATCATAAGAGAAACCGGTTGGCAAATAATTAAATAAGTTAACTCATGGACTGTGTTTTTTGTTTTATTTATATGTGACTTTTTTCCGGCACTTGTTTTCATTTTTTGTATATATATATATATATATATATGTGTGTGTGTGTGTGTGTGTGTGTATATAAATA